TGTAGTGCTTGCCAAATGAAAACAGCTTTTTCCAGGATTTATTCCAAGCGAAATGAAAAAATGTTGGTGTCTAATAACTGCCCAGGACGCCCAATTTGTCTGGCTTGGCTGAAAACACTTTTCTGCCAGGGCCTTTTTAAAATTTTTGTGCAGAGTAATCAGGTAGCACCAAGGAACCACTGTGGATGTCAGTGGGTGGCACTGGAGTGCATTGAGCTTGTTTTAATCTCCTGAATACCAGGGCATTTAGAAACATACCTTGTTAGACAAGGGGTTACGCAAGGCACGGTAGTCACTGGAATTGTAAAGACTGATTGGGTTAAACAGGGTTTTTTAGTTCCAAGTACAACATACAATATATAAAGTATCTAAATTTAATTGCTCTTCATCTAAAAGCAGTTCTGCATATAAATATCCAAAATATATATAATAAAAATACAGACTCTTGGACTATTACAGAAAAAAATAAAGTACATTCATAAACCAATGGGTGTTGTATATGCCTCATTTGCTCTTTAAAGTAGTATTAAACCCAAAACAAAAATGTAATATATTGCAGCTTACCAATCCTTAGTTGTGGTGGTGTCACGTACCTGACTGGAGGCTGCAATAGAGAGATGGCTCCCCTTACGGCTAAGTGCAGTGCGCCCCTGGAGGTGGAAACAGGAGGTGCAGTGCCCAAAGAAGCACGGGTTGCCAGTGGTGTTGCTGCTTGAAGATGCCTGATGAGATGGAACCCGTGGGTGCTCCGGGTGCAGGAGGAGTTTCTCCAGAGAACACGTGGATCCCTGAGAATGGGTAGAGTAGTCAGTAATCAGAGCCAGGATCAATATTGAACAGCAGACAAGAGCAATGTCAGGATCAAGCCGGGGTCATACCCAGAGTAGTAACAGACAGGAGCAAGGTCAGGATCAAGCCAGGGTCATACATAGAGCAGCAGCAGACAGGAGGAGCAATGTCAGGAGCAAGCCGGGGTCATACACAGAGCAGCAGCAGACAGGAGCAAGGTCAGGATCAAGCCGGGGCCATACACAGAGTAGTAGCAGACAGGAGCAAGGTCAGGATCAAGCCGGGGTCATACACAGAGTAGTAGCAGACAGGAGCAAGGTCAGGATCAAGCCGGGGTCATACACAGAGTAGCAGCAGACAGGAGCAAGGTCAGGATCAAGCCAGGGTCATACACAGAGCAGCAGCAGATAGGAGCAAGGTCAGGATCAAGCCGGGGTCATACACAGAGGAGCAGCAGACAGGAACAAAGTCAGGATCAAGCCGGGGTCATACACAGAGCAGCAGCAGACAGGAACAAGGTCAGGATCAAGCCAGGGTCATACACAGAGCAGCAGCAGACAGGAGCAAGGTCAGGATCAAGCCGGGGTCATACACAGAGCAGCAGCAGACAGGAGCAAGGTCAGGATCAAACAGGGGTCATACACAGAGCAGCAGCAGACAGGAGCAAGGTCAGGAGCAGGCCAGGGTCATACACAGAGCAGAAGACAGGAACAAGGTCAGGATCTAGCCGGGTTGGTAATGGGTAATCAGCAGTAAACACAGGAACGGAAGGGGCTGACGATAATCCAGCAATCACTGAGCAGAGCTGCAGTCCTTATAAAGGCCACTGAGTGTCAGCAATTAGTGCACCCTGCGTGTGCCGGTGCGTTTTCATGCACAGGAATGTGCGATTACGTGTCGCCCGCCTATGCTCATGTGCACTTCTTTGCGCGAATTGGCATGGTCATATTGCGCATTGGCGCATTTGCCCAAGCTTCCTCATCTTTTCCCCTTACAGGTGGCTGCATTAGTTTTTTTTCCCATTTATTTCATCTGGTGATCTGGATGGTAACACATTTACTAACATGGGGTTTCTGCATTCTGGATGAAGTAGTAAAACAGATACCTTCAAACAGAAGCATTGTCAGTGTGGGAAGAGGGTAGTTTTAGATGCACAAGCAGATTTAGATGAACTTGATTGACAAATATAAGCTGAACTCCAGCTAGTACTTTATAAGCAGTTACAGTAATAGTTTTTTTCCCATTTAGGGATAAAGGTTTTACATAAATGAATAAAAAATTTACCATTGTAAGCACCTTTTTCAGTGTTAAATGGTTCATTTTAACTCTTTAATCACTACTTTATCCCGCACTGCTTGTCTGTTAAAGACGTATCGACTGCATCATCAAGTGAAAATTAAGGGAAAAAGCCTATTAAAAAATAAAACTAATACAATCACAACATTAATGACTGCTGAGCTGCAATTTAATACATTTTTGTTTTTGGGTTTAACCACCTCCTGCCCACCATATAGTAATATGACGGACGCAAGGTGGTTCTCTCGTTCTGGGAGGACGTCATATGACATCCTTCCATTCTAACTGCTCATGCGCGGCTCCCGGAGTGCGCAGCGCGGTGATCGTCTGTGCTGTGTCCCTTGGACACAGCGGATCACCGATCCACGGAAAGAGCCGAAAGATGTCGGCTCGGTCATGTGATCAGCTGTGTCCAATCACAGCTGATCACATGTAAACAAGGAAAAGCCGGTTATCGGCATTTCTCTCCTCTCGAGCTGTCATGCTGACAGCTCGAGAGGAGAGGAGGGGGGACATGTACACTGATCATCAGAGCACTGATGATCAGTTTAGCCCCAGCAGTGCCACCTGTCAGTGTCCATCAGTGCCAGCTGTCAGTGCCCATCAGTGCCACATCAATGCCACATATCAGTTCCTACCAGTGCACATCAATGCCACATATCAGTGCCCATCTGAGCTGCCTTTCAGTGTCACTCATCAGTGCCAGTCAGTGCCACCTATCAATGCCAATCAGTGCCACCTATCAGTGCTGCCAATCAGTGCCACTTATCAGTGCCGCCTATCAGTGCCATATATGAGTGCTACCTTTCAGTGCCCATCAGTGATGCCTGTCAATGCCCATCAGTGCCACCTACCAGTGCCTCCTCATTAGTGCCCATCAGTGCCACCTATCAGTGTTCATCAGTGCATCCTATCAGTGCCCTATCAGTGCCCATCACTGCAGCCTCATTAGTGCACATCAGTGAAGGAGAAAAATCGATTTTTTACAACATCTTATAACAAAAACTAAGAGAAAATTTTTTTTTTTCAAAATTTTCAGTGGTTTTTGATTTGTTTAAGAAAAAAGAAAAAATCCAGAGTTGATTAAATACCACCAAAATAAAGCTCTATCTTTCACAAAAAAATGATAAAAATTTCATATGGGTACAGTGTTGCATGACCGCGCAATTGTCATTCAAAGTGCAACAGCGCTGAAAGCTGGAAATTGGCTTGGGCAGGAAGGGGGTATAAGTGCCCTGTAGGCTTGTGGTTAGTACTGCTTTATGGTACCAAAAGGTTTATTATTTTAGATTGGAAAAAGAGATGTGTGACAGGGCCTTTGCCACAGGAACTCTGCTTCCATGGCGACTGGCTCCTGTAACACTTCTTCGATATCACCCGACACTGAGTCCTGGTGGTGGTTTGGATGTCCCAGACTGCAGGAATCATTCCACTGCTGCCACCAAATGTGACAGAACACCAGAGAACTGCTTCCTTCCTGCTCAGACACAGAACCAAGGTATTATAGCTGGTCATTGACCCAAGATGAGACAAGACTAGCTAAGATGCCAAACAGGAACTCTTTATTGAACAGAAATCATTGGTTTTTATATACTTCACAAATAGGGTCAGTCCCAGTATGAACAATAACCACATATATTATACATTAGGATAACATCCCACATTGTTTAGATAATGAGGTGAAGCTAACATCAGTCTAATCTCATCATGTAGGAGCTTCCAAGAGGACTTGCCAACAGACAAACAATAGGTGACTGAATTACCTCAATTTACAATGGATTGCACACCTAGGAGGCACACAATGGTGAAAAGACACATAAAACCTAAAAAACAGATTAGAGCAAAAGTCCTCACATCAGGTTTGTCTTGAGATGATTATATCAACTTCTGCTTAAAGTCTCTAAGTCTAGGAAGGGGGGTTAAATCAGTGAATGCTGGTTTGGGCACAGAGGCCCTAAATCTGTATCCTGGTCCTCCTACTCAAAATGTCCCCCCCAGGCAAACACCAAAAAATAGAGCCCCCTCAGATACCAGGGATATGGTCAGTAGGCAAGAGGTTTAGCTTGCAGTCCCCTCCAAAAGCCCCTGTCCCAGTTGGGTCTGTCACAGTATGTATCACATAATTTAGGTACATCAAAACATTTCAACAGAAGGCATTTTTTAAGGTGCCTCAATAATGAGTGTAGCGCCACCCCACTGACTCCCCTGAATGCAAGATAGTACTGCAAAGGACAAGGAACCAGCTAGCATTTGCCCCAGGGCTACGTCCATGGCTAGAAAGGGGAGATTAGAACTGAAACTGAGCACCAGTCACTTTAGGTCTTTTTCAAAACTTGAAAAGGAGTAGGAGTGGTGCGTTAGGGGCTTCAGATGCCATGCAGATCACTTACTGACTGCTTGGTTCCCAGAATACAGTCCAGCTTCACAGTGTCAGAACCTTTAAGATGATCCAGCAACACTGGAAGCATGTTTTCAGAGTCTAGTACATCCTCCAAGAGTGTCATTAGGCCCTTCTGGGAGGCCAGCCTTCATTCTGGCTCTCTCCAGCAAGAGGGCCCTCCCCTGGATCTTCCCACCTTGGCTCAGCTTCCTCCACGCCGGGCAGGACAGCCTCAAGACCACTTCAAAGCAGGTAGGCCCCATACAGGCTTCTGGGTCTAGCATGGAGCTCTCTCCATCAGCAACTCCTCATGCCTCAGCCTGAGGCAAGAGAGCGAGCACACGGCCCACCCCAAATAAACACTATATTGCCAAAAGTATTGGAACACCCCTCCAAATCATTGGGGTATGGTGTTCCAATCACCTCCATGGCCACAGGTGTGTAACGTCAAGCACCTAGGCTTGCAGACTGCTTCTACAAACATTTGTGAAAGAATGGGTCAATCTCAAGAGCTCAGTGAATTCAAGCATGGTACCATGATAGGTTGCCATCTGTGCAAAAAGCATCAGATGCAGTGGTGTAAAGCACGCTGCCACTGGACACTAGAGCAGTGGAGATGTGTTCTCTGGAGTAATGAATCACGCTTCTCTGTCTGGCAATCTGATGGATGTGTCTGGGTTTGGCGGTTGCCAGGAAAATGGTACTTGCCTGGCTGCGTTGTGCCAAGTTTAATGTTTAGTGGAGGGGGGATTAGGGTGTGGGGTGTTTTTTTTCAGGGTTTGGGCTTGGCTTAGTTCTAGTGAACTCTTAAGGTGTCAGCATACAATTTTGCAGACATTTTGGACAATTTCATGCTCCCAACTTTGTGAGAACAGTTTGGGGATGCCTACTTCCTGTTCCAACATGATTGCACACCAGTACACAAAGCAAGGTCCATAAAGACATGGATGAGAGAGTTTGGGGTGGAGGAACTTGACTGGCCTGCACTGCAACCTGATAGGACACCTTTGGGATGAATTAGAGTGGAGACTGTGAGACAGGCCTTCTTGTCCAACATCAGTGCCTGACCTCACAAATGCTGTTCTAGAAGAATGGTCAAACATTCCCATAGACACACTCCTAAACCTTGTGGACAGCCTTCACAGAACAGTTGAAGCTGTTATAGCTGCAAAGGGTTGGCCAACTCAACATTGAACTCTACGGACTAAGACTGGGATGCCATTGAAGTTCATGTGTGTGTAAAAGCATGCAATCCAATACTTTGGCAATATGGTGTATATCAATCAGTCAATTTCATGTCGAGCTATTGGACACTATATTGGCAGATACCTTACAGTGAGATGTGCCTTTCATCCCTATTTTACTGTCTAATCAGGGGCATATCATGAATTCAGTGGGCACTGAGGAAAATCATAATGCGTCGCGCTAAGCATGGTTTAAATTGTGTGCCAAATGTTGGGGGTGTGGTTCAATGTTTTTAAATAGAGTCTGAGATAACTTACACAGTGCAGAATGTGGTAATGTTAAATAGGGAAAGTATAGTGTGGAGTGTACGGCAGTGGGTAGTATTTGCAGGAGAGGGGTGCAGAGTGTATGGTGGTGGGTGATATGTGCAGGGAGTGGAGTGCGGAGTGTAAGGCGGTGGGTTGTATGTGCAGGGAAAGGAGTGCAGAGTGTATTGTGGTGGATAGTATGTGCAGGGAGAGGAGTGTGGAGTGTATGGCGGTGGGCAGTATGTGCAGGGAGAGGGATACGGAGTGTATGGCAGTGGGTAGTATGTGCAGGAGAGGGGTATGCAGTGTATGGCAGTGGGTAGCATGTGCAGGGAGAGGGGTACGGAGTGTATGGCAGTGGGTAGTATTTGCAGGCGAGGGGTATGGAGTGTATGGCGATGGGTAGTATCTGCAGGGAGAACAGTATGGAGTGTATGGTGGTGGGTAGTATGTGGAGGGAGAGTACCCATGGATGATACGCCCACTGTGTTTAATGTGCTTATATAACAGTTTTACCACTGAATTTTAAATATATTAATGTCTGCAAACTCTACTGGAGGGAAACCCCTAAAGATACCTTTATTAAAATGCACTAGTTGGGATGGCATTGGGATGTAAAATACCTTGCAAAAATGATGTCCAGTTGTCAATGTGAGATACAGAGGTATTTTAATCATAGCCATGTTTTTTAATGAGTGTGTTACCTCATATGTCTAAATAATCTGTATATTTTGTTATAAGTATAAAAAAACAACAGCAAGGGTAGAGATGTGTATAGGGTAGTGTCAGTACCCTGGCCACATGTTACAACCCACTGATTGATATTAAGGGTTACTGTGGTCACTAAAAGGCTCAAATGCCCATCAAAATCAAAGATTTCAAATATTTCCTAGTACCCTTCCAGCCTGGAAAAAAAAATTATATACACTCCTATCGATCCACTATCTCCACAAGTCCACAGGAATTTCTCTTTTCCTCATGCAACTAAATCCGCATTAACCCAATAAATCTAAGTGCCCATAAAGAAAAAGAAATACAAAAGTACAAAAAAAATCCCATAACCCAACATGTTTCGTCTAAAAGAAAGGCTTCATCAGGGGTGTACAGTTCATAAAGTGTGTCTAAAAAGTACATGGCAAATGGCATCTGCTTATAGTGCAGATCTATTTATAATAAAGAGGTGGGGGCATAGCTATGTCATCTACCATCCATGTGTGAGGTAAATATACATTGTGCGCCTTGATGTCATGTGCATCAATTCCCATACAGGTTTCATGCCCTCACTTGTTATAAGCGTTTATTGGTCTGACAGTATATTTTTTGTGTATTAAGTATAGAGGGCCATTTGAGTCCACAAAGTAGTACCTCTTTTGGGTTGTTTTACTGAACTATATACATCTTGGACTCCGACCCTGTTAATTTTCTGTAGGTGCTTCTAGGCTTTGCGTATGCTCTGTTGCGTATGCTCTGTTTATAATATTAACAGAATTGGTTAAACTACATCAGAAGTAAATAGTGAGATCTGTATAATAATTTATAATCTAGTGTGGTTCTGCACACTGTAGTTTAGACACACTTAAAATTAACCCGTGATTAGTACAAGCAGCTTGATTTAAAAGCTTCACCCTTCAGCTGGCCCCCATAGCATTAAAGTGTTACTAAACACGCAACAGTACTGTATATGCACTAAAGCATGCTTGGTATACTCACTGTGGAGCCTAAGGGGTTAATCCTCTGCATTGTGTAAAAAGGCTGTTTGATCCTGTCTTCTCTGACCTCCTCTTGTTGAAACCACCTGATACAGACTGAACCTGTGGTCACATACACATGCTCAGTTTGGTGTGTATTGCTAGAGAGGTTTTTTTTTTCTTGGGAGGGTGCATGTGATCAGCACAGCACCAATCAGCACTGTCCAGACAGAGGGTCAGAGGTTTCACATCCTCCTAGAGCAGAAAGAAAACTCCTCCTACAAGCTTTCACCAGTGCTCTGCTGAAGTCACAAGACTAACTGCTCATGAGAAAAGGTATTTAGCAGTTTATATTTACTAAGTTTTTAATTATTTAAATGATTGTATTTCCATGTTGTGTACTGTGGGAGACCAGATATAGTGAATGTAGGGTCCTGGGTTTGGTATCATTTTAGGTCCTTGACTCCCCTTTGCACCTCCGTTGCTCTTTTCACTGGAAGGAAAAGAAGCCCTCTGTAAACTCTAAGTCAATTACAGTAAGAGCTTACGTAATGAAAGACTATTCCCCAGCCCATGAAACAATGCTGGTCCCTGAGCAGTCAAATGCCAAGCACCAGGACTATACCACTGGTGAAATGGCTGGGAGTCGCATGATCTTCTATAGCCAGTAGTACTAGGTGACTTTCTTTCTCCTAGTGGTGAACTGGTCAGCGATTGAGCAAAGGGTAAGTGAGAATATACAGTAAGGATGAGGGGGTTTAATAAAGTAGACCTATTGCTTTGTCCTAGCAGTACAAATGAATCCTCAGTACATTTCCAAGCTAGCTAACAAAAAAAAAAAAACAACTAACTAAAGTTTAAAATAGAGGTTTTAGTTGCATAATCAGAAAAACCACCTCAGCGTCTGTGAATCTTCAAAATATCATATATAAACTTGATCCATCTCCAAAATAAATTATTTTGTGAACACGTGTACCTCAAAAAGAACAAATGACTATATATAATGCATTATCCTGATAGTTGATCTTGCTATATATTTTTGAGGATAATGCATATGTAGTATTTTTTTTCTTTTTGAGGTGCATGTGGACACAAAAGAATTGATTCTGGAAATGGATCAAGTTTATATATGATATTTTGAAGATTCACAGGCGCTGAGGAGTTTTTTTTTTTTACTTTGGACTTTCTGGGGAGAAAGTGTGACTTTTTGTGCATCTAGGGGATTTATAATATTTTATTTTATTTTGTTAGCAATTTTGTGGGTACACCCACCGATTTTGGTATTTGTTTTAGTTGCATAGGTTCACATGCACAGGGTAATATACCAAACAATAGAGTAGCAAAATAGTAATAAACAAATCAATATATAAAATGGTGCTGGGGAGCCATTTTTTCCTGTTTTATATTGCCCTTCCCATGTACACATTTCCCTTTTGCTAGTTTCAAACACATCAGATGTGGACACACTGGAAGTCTTCAGCTGCCTTGTAAAGATGGTGTCTAGGCTTCGGAGGTGTTGCTGGAAAGGGCTTCCTTCAATTGAGCCTGCCTAGTGGTGGTCTATAGTAATCAACAAGTTGGATAGGAATGGGAGGGGGTCTTGATTAGGAGCGTAGTACGAGATGACTGTAACAGGAGTGTCTAGGAGCAATCCCGATAGGATGAGGTACCGACCTTATGGGTCTCCAAGTTGAGTTTGGAGCACGAAAGGGGCTGTGCGGTGAAAGGCAATGAGAACTCCCCTACACTTGGTTTTCGTTGAGGCGGTAAAAATTTGAGGGTAGAGTGGACCAAAAAATTTAGGTGTTGATGTGGGGGTGAAATGAGTTTCTTGGAGGCAGATGATATGCGCCTTCTGAGACGCAAAGAAGAAAAAGGCTTTGTTTCGCTTTTGAGGGATATTAAGACCCTGAATGTTCAGGGTAAGGGTGTTTAGGGGTGCCATTGTGGATGGAAGGGAGCTGTCAAAGGAAATTGGGTTTAAAGCAGAGCACTGAGGGGACAGTCCCAGGGAGGGGGAGCGGGGTAAGAGGGGAACGAAGCGGGAGAGGGAGGGGGGGGTTACGCAGAAAAAAGAAAATGGAAAAAAAGACTAAGGCGGTGCAGAAGAGAAGAGAAGTGCAACTGAGAATAACGGTCTGGCCCCCGAGACTAGAGCAAAATGACCAGTCCAGGGGGTCAGAAACAGCCCGAGCAGTTCTGAAAAAAGTACCGCATGGGCTGATAAGGAGCGCACAGTGGCTAGCACAGGGGGAGAAGCAGCACAAATAAAAGAAACAAACAAACAGACACCAGTATAGGAACTGTTGCCTGGGGCTCCCTAGATAGCAGAGGGGGATTGGAGATCCAACTGCGCTGGTGAAAAAAATACACCGAATAGGAAGAATGGTGTTGGAGAAGGGCAACAAATCGAGTGCGGTCAGAGACAAAATCCCCAAATAGCTATGAGGGGCCTCCACAAACTGAGCCAACAATAACAGGCGACCTGAGGAGAGAAGTATCAAGATTAATTAAAAAAAGCACAATATGGTAGAGAGAGCATGGAGGAGGAAAACAAAAAACCCTTGTAATAACGATATGTCTAGATAAGAAAGGCACTGGAACAAGGGGGAGCTCCATTTAGGACCGGTGGGTCGGATCTGGAAACCAACAGGCCAAATGGGTGCTGGAGGGAAGGAGGGCCAGATGGGCCGAACGACAAAAGGGTGGTTGTGAACGTGGCCACCATAGAGAAAAGACTCAGCAGTAGGGTCCTCAGGTGCGGAACGTGGGGAGAACAGGAGTCCACGGCAAAATGGAGGTCAAGATGACCGAGTCCCGGAGACTACCAGAGTTCGAAACAGAACTTGAAAGGGAGAAGACAGCTGGGGCGGAGTTCAATCCATGGTATCCTGGGAAACAGGTGCCAGAGAGATGAAACGTCCACGCTTGTGCGTGGTGGCTTGGCCTGTTGCTGAAGCGGAGTGCTTGACCTTCTGAGGTGAGCAGGAAGCAGATATTCTGCGCGGTCCCTCAGGAGCATCCGCGGGAGGGTGAAGTTGGAGATGGCGGAGCGTGTCGATAAGTTCATCGGTGGATCTGCAGATGTAGTCGCGGGACTGGTGGGAGCAGCGAACGGCAAATGGAAAGTTCCAACAATAAGCAATGCCGTGTTGTTGGAGGAGTTGCAGGTGGGGCTTCATGGCTCGGCATCTGGCAATGGTGGCAGGGCATAGATCCTGAAATATTTTATAGGAGTGGCCCTGGAAGGTTAAGGTGCAGATATTGTGGGTAAGTAATGAAATTTCACGATGATGTCGTGAGGTGGGCCATTTGGTCTACGTGGAGCCAGGGCGCGATGTACCCTATCTAGGTCGAGATGTTCAATCGGGATGGAGGGAGCGAGCTCTTGGAGCAGGGCAGTAGTTGTGGAGAGGACATCAGTGTTTCAGGGAGTTCACGGATTCAATATAAGTGCGGCGGGCCCTATTCTTAAAATCTTCAAGGTGGGACTGAAGCGTTCATCGCACATCGCCTCAAGTTCATCTGAGTATGTATGAACCTCTGCGTCCAGATTGTCGACCCTGTATTCAAGCTCGGATGTATGGACCCCAAGGGCACGGATTTCTTTAGATAATTTATCCATGATGTGGTCGGAGGTCTGCTTTAACCTCCTTGGCGGTATTCCCGAGTGTAGCTCGGGGTAACATTTCAGTACCAAAAGCGGTAACCCCGAGCTACACTCGGGCTTACCCTGCGGCACTGCTCCAGCATGTGTTCTTCACTTACCTTACCCTGCGCTCCCACGATGTGTCCCCTGCAGCGTCCCCGGCCATCTCCTCCGGCCGATGCCGGCATCCGGCTTCTGTGTCCTGTCCCTGTGACGTCGGGACGTACGGGCGCCGCCGCCGCCGGCGGCGGGAAATTTAAAAATTTTAAAAAATGTCATTTTTTTTTTTTTCATTTTACACAGTAAAACATTGCTGTTTCAACCTATTTCACATACATATTGTCCCTAGTGCTTTGTCCTGCGCCCTGCCTGCATTTTGTCTGTTCTTTCTGCCTGGAAACTGAGAAATGTCCATGGCGTCCAAAAAGTGTCCCTTTAGGTCAAAAGCGGTTTAGATCAGCTAGAGAACAGCGATAGTAAATCAGAACCACTTACAGAATTGAGTGATAATGATTCGTGGGGGAAATTCGTCATCAGAAACTGAAAACGATTTTGCGACTGAGCTCAGCAATGTGCGAACTTGGTGCTCTATTTCACATTTCAGTGTTTTTGGTTTGATTATATTATTGAATTAAATTTTTTATTATTTTTATATTATTTTTATGATTATTTATTAAATTATAATTTATGATTTTGTGTTTCAAATTTTATCATACCCGGGATGTTTACTAGACTCTTGTTCGGACAGATTTCAGTGAGTTTTTCCTAAAAATTACAGCCTACAATAAAAAAAATACATATTTCCATGCAAAAAAATGGTACCGCTTTCAGCACCAAAAATCTGAAATAATCATACCGCCAGGGAGGTTAACGCCCTGTGTGGCATCCTTTCAAACTGTTTAAGAAGGTCATGTTGTACAAGAGGGGGATTAGGGTTAGGGAGGTCAGCTGTAGGTGGTGAGCTAGGTGTCCTCAGGTCAGTGTCATTATCTGACACCCTCTGAGATGCTGTGGTCCGGATCCCTCTGCGGGGCTGAGAAGGAGAGGGAGCGTGCCTGCTTGGAAGTGCTGGAGCCAGCGGCCATCTTGGAGGAGGCCCGTGCTAGGGCTTCCTTTATAGGCGTAGCCTGCGGTTGGTGCTTGGGCTTGGCGGTTCCCCAGACCATCGCGCCCGGTCCCAGGGGTGCTGCTTATTGTGCGGAGACGTTTGTGGAGGTAGGGTGGGTCAGGAGCGGTGTGGACGAGGCTGCTTCTGCTGCTCTGCAGCGGAGCCTCATGCGGACATGTGTGCGCCGGAGATCTCACGCACCAGGATGAAAATTTTCTATTGCATCTAATGGGAAACAACAAATTTATAGTTGTTACATTTACTCCGGGCCGAGAAAAAACCATAACTAGTCTTATGCGACTGCACTTTTTAAAGTTAATCCAAAAGTGGAACATTTGTACTATGAAAATCAAGACATTGACATGGTACTCAAACCAAAAGTCGTCCAAAATTAGTAGAGTTTATGAAGGCACTATCGAATGGTTGGGGTGAGCAGTTTTTATACTTTCTCCTCCAAACATTCAAATGAAATCCTACAGGTGTAAGGCCAGCATTAGGGACTCCACTTTTCAGAGGTGCCTTGATGTGGCAGTGTGGCCTTCACATGTATTTGCAGCTAACATTATACAATCAAAGCCTCTATTTTCAACCTGTGGTTGAAACAGATTAGTTAAAGTGATACTAAAATTACATTTTTTTGTCTTAAGTTATATTTATCTGCTCT